CGTTGCGATAGTCAGTACCGCGTTGCGATTTTCCAAATTCGCATTGCGATTTACTTATTCGCATTGCGAATTGGGAAAATCGCAACGCGAAATTGGAAAATCACATTGCGATAGTCATAATCGCGTTGCGAATCTAGAAACTGATTTGCGATAATGGAGATCGCATTGCGAATTAGCGATCGCATTGCGATTTTTTTGGTCATTTTGGCAAATCCGAAAAAAAATTGGTTAAAATCGTATATTATATGAGATTTTTGTTCACTTAATTTATTTTCTCTAATTTATAAGGTTAGGCAACAACTTTATACAACACGGTTTTGTGCGGTTTGTCGTTGAAAGAGTAGACAACAAAATATATAGGGAATTTAAAAGACAAGTTTTGTCATAATTATAATATACCTTTTCTTTTTCTCTTTAAATCTAAAATTAAAGATTAATTATGTAATTACATTCTTAAACCCATCTTTCCCTTCATTAATCATTATCTATATCTTTTAGGTCTCGAAGCATGATCAAGATTTACTACTTTACTCGAGAGCTTTCTTCAACAAAAACAAGACTTCTTTTGTCAATCCAAAGACCAAGTCAAAGGCTCTCTTTTTTTTATCAAAAAGATTTACTGTTAATTAAACACGTTTTATCTTTTGTATCCTTTAGAGTTTTTAAAGGATTTACTTGAGTGAAAAATGTAAAATTTTAAGTGAGAGTATGAATAACTCTTTTTCACATAAACAGAATTTATATACAACATGTAGAAAACTAGAGAAACAAAACCCAAAACAAAGTTAGGATTTATTTAAATTAAAAAAATTAACTTGGAAACAATAAAATTTGGGTAAACTATACGTATACTACTTAAACTATTATTTTTGTTTCATTTGGTACATAAATTTATATTTTTTAAATCATACCTAATATTTAGTTTATGTTTCAATTTGGTACCTTACTGTTAAATAATTAACAGTAATATTGACGTGACATTTTTAATTTTTTAATGATGATGTAAAATTACCTTATGGTGACACATCAACATCACTGTTAAATTGTTAACAATGGGTACCAAACTAAAATCTAAACTAAATGTTAGATATAATTTTGAAAATAAAATAAAATTTAGGTAATAAAACAGAATAAAAATCAAAGTTCAGACATTAAATGTGTAGTTTACCCATTCAATTTTACAAGCATAAGATCTGAACCTCAGTACGAGGAAACAAGTTTCCTTTACTTTGAATTTAAAAAAAAGAGGCTTACAACAAATGACGTATTTTACCCTAAAACGTAATATATTTCGAAGAAAAAAACATTATACAAATGACCATTATATTCAATTAAAATAATTTTTTATTATTAAATAATTATTAAATTTATCAAATTATTATTATACATTACAAAATAATAATAAATTTTAATAAATTTAAAGATCATTTTCAGAACATATAAGTCTAATAATTATTTTATAATAATTTAATAAAATTAATAATTAATTTATATATATATATATTTAAAATTTAATGATAAAAAATATATTTAAATACAATTTAATAATAATTTTTATATTTTATTTAAAAAGGCAACAATTATCAATCACACATTCATGACATTGTATGTCGAGAATTAGACCAGCACATTCGTCATTAACTGTTTTAGTTTTTAGATGAGAATTCGATTGATTTCATCGTTGAAAAATTTATTCACGTTCGTTGTATTAATTGTTAATGATAATATATTTATTTTATCGATTGTTAACTGTTCACTCCTAATTTAAACGAAGTGTCCTAACCGAGGAAAAAATGAACGTTGATGGAAGAAAATTGCAGATGTGTTCAAGGAAGGTTGACTGTGACTGTATGTGGTTTATTTATTTCTTTTAATATTGATTGTAATATTTATAATGATTTTTTTATTGTGTATCATCCGTAAGATTATTATAACTGTTTATAGAAAATAAATTAAGTTGATTCATTAGTTAAATAGAATTTTATTTTGATAACTGTCCAAACTTTTCTCTATATATTAGAATGGATAAAAATCTGTAATAAAATATAGATTAATCAAAAGCTGTGATAATTAGAGAAGCTTATCTAAAAATCTTGACGGGTGAAAAGCGAATTTAATTTCGCGAAAGTTAAAGATTTTTAAAAATTATTTCCGAAAATATGACAAAAATAATTTAATAAGTATTTATATACTTGAAAAAAACAGCAGTTCAGGTTCTACTATGGCTATACTTCCTTCCTTAAAGCTTCCTATTTTTTTCAACAAACAGACGGAAAACCAGATTCTAAAGAGACATGATCATGTCTAGGACCAAAAATTGTTTTTTTAAGTAAAGCGAGTGGTGTCCAGTGAGAGTGCTAGGCGCACTAGCAGACATATGGACCCCATCATCATCATCACTTCCTCCACCATCTTCTCTAATCTACCTCTCCTATTTCCCCCAAAGGAAAGGCCTCGTTTTTCTTTTCATTTCCCTCTGTTGAAACCGGTTAATATTCTGTTTAATTTCTTCACTTGTAACGACTCTTGAACATTGGGTTTCTTTCTCTGCTCGGTGATGGAAGGTGGGTTAGTATTACTTGGTGGTGGCAGTGACGGTAGCGGCGGTGGAGGTGGTTCTTCTGGGGTTTCGACAAATGAGTCTGCAGTGTTGTCTAAAGTGGAGGTTATTTCTGAGGCGTGTTCATATCCAGCTGAGAGTGAGATAGAGTTAAGCTGGGCTGAGCCTTGGCGGCGGCGGCGGTTCGACCGGGAATACCAAGGCTGCTAATTCTTCATGGAGTGAGTGTGGGAGAATCTTGACTGCAAAGGACTTCCCTTCAGTTGTTTCTCAAAGAAGCAACAACGACGGTCCTTCTTCCGTTTCGGGTACCAAGAGAGCTGCTGAGTCTGTCTCCCATGACGGTGGTTCCCCTATTGGAAGCAGTCAAGTTGTGGGGTGGCCACCCATAAGAGCTTATAGGATGAACAGCTTGGTGAACCAAGCTAAGCACAAAGAGGTGATGAAGGAGATAAACCCAAAGATGCTTTGAAAAAGAAACTTGATTACAATGGTAAACAAATCAGTTCAGCAACTGTTTATGACATGGGAAACCTTGGGTTTGTTAAGGTGAATATGGATGGGATTCCAATAGGAAGGAAAGTTGATTTGAATGCTCATTCTTCCTATGAGTGCTTGGCCCAAGCACTCGAAGATATGTTCCTCAGATCTGATAACTCAGTTGGTAGTTCCTCTTTAGTTGTGTTGTAGTGTTCTTCTCTGCTTTGTATGAAGATGTTAATGCCATTAAACCCTTTTTTTTTTGCAGATAAGGAACCATTAACAATGGCCGCTAAGCTTTTGGATGGATCATCTGAATTTGTTTTGACTTATGAAGACAAAGAAGGGGACTGGATGCTTGTAGGGGATGTCCCATGGAGGTATGAATGAATAATTATACGAAAAAAGAATGGAAAGTCGTTCGATTTCGATTCTTATGATGCTTATAGTATGCTTTGGTTCCTTGTTATGTTTCAGGATGTTTGTCAGTTCAATTCGAAGGCTACGAATCATGAGGACCTCTCAGGCTAATGGACTTGGTTTGTAACAGAAAAGCATATCAAACAATTCTTGATTTCGTTTTCGGTTTCTAAATCCTGTTTTCCATTTGTTGCAGCCCCAAGATTCAATGAAAGCGACGATAGGCAAAGAAGCAAGCCTATTTAGGCACATCATCTCCATTAGCCATTTACAAATTCCATAGTAAAAAAACAAAACAAAAAAAAGGAAGAAAAAGCTCTACAGTTTGAACACAGAAGCTAAAGCAAATTAGAGAAGTTGAAGAGTTGGATATCGATATCGTGTTTACATGATTCTCCTTACTGTTTTTTGGTTGGTTTTGTTAGGTGATATTCAATCTAGGTTTTTCACTCTTATAAAGTGCCATGATCATATATGCAATCCAGCAACCCTCGACTGAATGCTGTTTTGTCATATTGTAAATATGGGACTATCTCGAAATCTAGAGAGTGTTTTTGAGTTTTGCTGCTGTCAATCGCAGCTCAGGGTTTTTACCGATCATAGAAAGAAATGTCGTGTGTGATTCTGATTCAAAAGTGTTTCTTGGCCATCCTTTTATCTTTACATTTCAAGTTCGAGTGTTTTGCCATACTTATCGGCTTTGGAGTACAAATCCTGTTCGAATATTTTAAGAAAAATGAAGAGTTCAAATAAAATATCTATAAAAAATATAAATATTTTAAGAAGAATTAAGAGGTCGAATAATATGTCTATAAAGGAAATAAGAGTTTAAATAACATAATTCGGCTTAAAAAACAAACCTAGTGTCACGGAAGAAGCACAAGGGGAAAACTTGGCGGGTGGATGTAATAAAGCATTGTTGCTTTTGTGTTGAGAAGCATCATTGTGTAAAGTTTTGAGTGCTGCAACAGCAATGAAACTGTTATTAATGATCGGCACTTAGATTATCGGATTTCATTATGAATAAATTACAAATTTAAAGTATAACTTTTTTAAAGTTTAATATAAAATATATCTAAATTATATATATATTTATTTAGATGTATATTTCCCCCCGATCAATGTAGGTATTTAATGTTATAAACATTATCATTTTAATTGTTTATACCATAATATCTATTAAAAATATCGTCAACCACTCAAAATATGACACATCGCGTGTTTGATAATTTGATGTACAATTCATGTACAAGCCTGTTGGTTATGGAACTCATATATATCAAGGTTTTCGAATGAACAAGTTAGAAGCATTTGAGTCATGAATAAGATCTTACAGAAGCATACGGTGATAATTTGATGCAGAAAAGCTCGTACAAAGTTTCGGTACAATGGTGCTGTAGAAAGATCATAAACGGTAGCCATCATCAGAGCAAAGCAGAAAGTTTCAATTACCACTGCAAAACCGAGGCAGCAGAGATGTAAAGCCGCAGCGGCAGATTAGACAAATTCACATTGGCAGCAGAAACATTCAAGAGAATGACGACGACCAAAAAATTCAAGGAACAAGATGAAACAATTGTCCAATCCCCACCTGTAGAAAACCATCGGAAACAATGTAAAATAAATATCTCAAACCCATGAACTAGAAACATCAGAATCATATAAACAAACATATTTATGTAAAAGGATTCTAAATGAACTTATTATTTTCGTAGACGGGTTATTTGATGTGAATGCTTTCATAAAATGCATCAGCTGACAGTAATCAGCATTATAATGTATCAAATTTTATCATTTTTAATCTAAAAATGGAAAAGAAGCAAATAAGGGATATTTCCAAATACATTCTTCAGATATGCTATTATACTACAAAACATACACTACATAAAAGCAAAATGCACTTATAAAACAAAACATGTGTTTATATAACAGACTGCATCAGAAATAACGCTCATCAAGCACTGTGGAAATGCAATGTTCCATTTTTTCGTATATGGTTGACTACTTGATATGTACATTATGTAGCTGCACAAGGAAATGATGAATGTTCCTAGCACCGACAAATGGGTAACGAGTCAGACAACTAGACTAAGAGAAAGGATGAGAAGACAAACCAAGAGTAGTATTTAAATATAGAGAAAATCGCCTCAGTGACCAAAAAAAAGTTATAATATACGATTTTAACCAACTTTTTTTGGATTTGCCAAAATGACCAACAAAATCGCAACGCGAAATAAAAATCGCAACGCGATCCCCAGAATCGCAAATCAGTTTCCAAAATCGCAACGCGATTCTTGAAAATCGCGATGCGATAGTACAAATTCGCATTGCGATTTTCAATAATCGCAACGCGAATATGAAAATCGCAACGCGAACACATAAATCGCAACGCGTATCCGTAAATCGCAACGTGTATCCGTAAATCGCAACGCGTATGGGTAAATCGCAATGCGTATCCGTATATCGCAACGCGTATCCGTAAATCGCAACGATAATACATAAAATCGCAACGCGTATCCGTAAATCGCAACGCGATATTTAAAGCGCCATTATAATCGCTACGCGTATTTTATTTTCAAATTACAAAAAGAATATTAAGACAAAATCCCGTAATCGCAACTCATAACCTAAAACCTAAAATCACAACTCAGTCCCATCTCCATCTCTCACTCTCTACGGCGAAGAAATCCGTCCCCATCTCCGAAGATTTCCGTCCCCATCTCCGGCGAAATCCCTCACAACCATTCACGGTCAGAAATCCCTCACAATATTCAGAAATGGAAAATCAACCTCCGAGGGTAGTTTTTTAATTATTTTTATTTTGAAATGTTTGCATTATTGTAGGTTTTTCATATTGAAACTGATGATAAGTTACTGGTCATTTCAATAATAGATTAACCATTTCACTTAGATTTCATTTCGCGTTACGATTCTGTCGTTGCGATTTTCATTTCGCGTTGCTATTCTCGTTGCGATTTTCAAGTTAGTATTTGTCTTTGTCTTTGTTCTGTCTTTTGGTTGAAGTAATGCAATCCATTCAAGTTTCAATTTGCAGAAGAGTCGCAACGAGATAAATGAAAATCGCAACGAGAGAATGACTGTCGCAACGAGAGAATCGCAACGCGAAATGAAAATCGCAACGAGAGAATCGCAACGCGAAACCAAAATCGCATTGCGATTTTAATTTCGCGTTGCGATTCTCTCGTTGCGATTTTCATTTCGCGTTGCGATTCTCTCGTTGCGATTGTCATCTCGCGTTGCGATTCTCTCGTTGCGATTTTCATTTCAACCAAAAGACAAAACAGTGTTGCAAATTTTAGTTTCAAGAATAAACTACTACTTTTTATGTTTATTGTTTTGGTATATCTTCACAGTGTAGTTTTTGGTATATCTAACTTGGTATGTTTATTGTTTTTGTAGAAATTTTTTTCGGCTCAATTGACCTTGAGAAATAAAGTCAGCCTGGCCACTACAATTGCAAAGAAGCTTTCACCTGCTCAAAGACAATTGTTTGAGGAAACCTGCTTCGGGCCATGGCTGAGAGTACAGCATCCGGGTGGAGATGCTAATTTGACCCATTTGTGGCTTCAGACCATGACATCAAATCTACCCGACAGTATACAACGTGGTGAGGAAGAGATATGGTTTCATTTTCCACCAGCGTATACTTGCTTTGGGCGGAAGGAGTTTGCTTAATCACTGGTCTACGATTCGGACACGATGATGTAGGCCGGTACACTCGTCATATCGCCCGCCCATCATGGTTATCCCGGGTTTTTCCGGATGAGTCAATGGAGAAGCCGAACCTACATGTCGACGACCTGAAGAAATTATTTAATAAGAAAGCTGGTTTCACTCGGATGGAAGACGTCGATGTTGTCCGAGTATGCCTTCTACTACTTGTGTATGCCGGCTTTTTAGGCAGAGAGGCCAGACAACCTATTCATCGGGAGCTAATAATATTGGTAGAGGACCTGAATGCATGGAATCTGTTTCCGTGGGGTTCGTATATATGGAAAGCTACCTGGACTAAGTTGTCGTCTGCCTTTGATGACCGCAAAAGTTTGCGGGGCGATGGGTCCAAATACACTTTGTCAGGCTTTGTTTGGGCCTTTAAGGTAAGAATTTCTATATAAGTTTCTAAAATTATAATTAATTATTTAACAATTACTAATTTTGTTATTATATTGTTTGTAGATTTGGATATTCGAGGCTTTCCCCAGCATGCGTACATATGCAATAAAAACGTCAAATGATATTCCCAGGGCTATTTCCTGGAAGAGGAAACTCTGTTGGATTGGGAAGACTTAATACCATATGCCACAATAAATAATGTAAGTTAACACAAATACTTTCATATAATATATAAACAAGTTATTAATAGTAGACGTTTAACTTTGTTTGAGTTTTATATTTTAGGAGGCCAACATTCCATTACAAAGACTGTCACCCACGGAGGAAGAGCTTGCCACTGATTGGTGGCAAGCTAGTCAGAGTTTTTTTGATGGCACAGATGATGAGCAGCATCCACTTCCTCCAATTCGAGAGCCATCACCTCACCTAGAGCCATCACCCGATCGTGACGACTATACACCTCTAGAACGAGAGCCATCACCTATCCCGTCACATCATCGAGCCTCTTCTCCACCATCACCTCATGATAGGCGACCGGCAAAGATGCCTCGACTCCTATCTCCCTGTTCTCCACCTCCACCTCAACGGGATGAGTCAAGGGAGTTACGTGATGAGGTCAATGCCTTGCGTGAGGAGATCGGTACTCTACGCGATAACGATGGTGCATGGCGTGTGGAGGTGTCAACTTTACGTGGTGAGGTTGCCGCTTTACGTGAGATGATAGTATCGTTGCAGAATGAGGTTCATACTCTACGCAACGAGGTAAGTTTAAGATTTTCCATATTTAACTTAATGATAAATTTACTCGTAATTTCACTTAGATTAGCCATTTCACTTAGATTGCTTAGTAAATTTATTCGGTTGCTGCCAATTCTGCTAAACTGTGTATTCTTTAACACTGTGAAATAGTATTTGTCTTGTTTTGTCTTTTGGTTGAAAGTAAATTTGTTCGGTTGCTGCCAATTCTGCTAAACTGTGTATTCTTTAACACTGTGAAATATATTTGTCTTTGTTTTGTCTTTTGGTTGAAAGTAAATTTGTTCGGTTGCTGCCAATTCTGCTAAACTGTATTCTTTAACACTGTGAAATATATTTGTCTTTGTTTTGTCTTTTGGTTGAAAGTAAATTTGTTCGGTTGCTGCCAATTCTGCTAAACTGTGTATTCTTTAACACTGTGAAATAGTATTTGTCTTTGTTTTGTCTTTTGGTTGAAAGTAAATTTATCCATTCAAGTTTCAATTTGCAGAAGAAGAAATAGTTTACTTTCGCAACACGAAACTTAAAATCGCAACGCGAAACCAAAATCGCAACGCGAAATGAAAATCGCAACGACAGAATCGCAACGCGAAACCAAAATCGCAACGACAAGATCGCAACGCGAAACCAAAATCGCATTGCGATTTTCATTTCGCGTTGCGATTCTTTCGTTGCGATTTTCATTTCGCATTGCGATTCTGTCGTTGCGATTTTCATTTCGCGTTGCGATTTTGGTTTCGCGTTGCGATTTTAAGTTTCGTGTTGCGAAAGTAAACTATTTCTTCTTCTGCAAATTGAAACTTGAATGGATAAATTTACTTCAACCAATAGACAAAACAAATACTAACTTCAGGGTATTAGTTTGAAACATTTTTCTTTGTTATCTGATGCATTTTGTGAACTATGATAGAATAATGACTTGGGTGAATACAATGCAAGTTTGAAACTATTTGTCTTTGTTTTCACTGTTTAAATATCATGTCTGTTTATTTACTGATTTTTGTATTTAATTATTTAGCGGCCCGATAGAGTGGATGCTTTACGTCGGGTTATGCTTGCACGACGGAGTTCACGCATCAGACAGCGTGCACGTGCTATTAAGTCTCCGTACACCCCAATAGTGCGAAGACACCGCAAGAAGAAGCCGACTCGCCTGTCATCCCTCAAGAGTCCACTCCTATCGTTGAAGAGGCCCCCCATATCATTCCTCGAGAGTCCCTCCCACCGTTCAAGAGGCCACTGTCATCATTGAAGAGGTCCCTCCCACCATTCAAGAGCCCGATTCACATGGCGTCATATGTAGGCTTCTTGAGAAACCCTCTGTCGTGCCGGACATGATGGATTCAAGTTGGCTCTCGTATGAGTTACCGGCCAGTACCATACCGGTATCTGAAGAGGAGAGGGAACAACTACCGGACACAATTTTGGATAACACCCTTTGGGCTAAGACCGCAGTTGATTTTTATCTACATGAGCGGAGCAAGGGTGTTTCATGACATATGCAAGCTCACCGATGATATCTTTTGTTGCTTGAACGGCCTTGGTGGGGCGTATTATTAGGGGTCGAAGACAATGGCTATTTCGATGGGGGGGTAAGTCTTATATTTTTCTTATATTTCAATTTGATTAATTTTTTTTTTAAATTTATGTAAGTCACTAATATATGTCTTTTTTTGTAAAACAGCATATCGATGCGTGGGT